AGAATAAACTGCTGATTATAATAGAATCAGGGGCATAGAAAGGGAGTGGACTGCCTAAGTTTGTGGGGGAAAGAGGTAGGGGGGATGTGGGAAGAGACTGAACAAAAATCGCACACCTATGGATGAGGACAGTGGGCGTGGGAGTGAGGACGGAGGGTGGGGTGGGAACCGGGTGGAGGGGAGTTATGGGGGGAAAAAGAGGAACAACTGTAATAATCTAAACAATAAAGATTTAATTTAAAAAAATAAAATAAAAATCATATGAGATACCACTTCGCAGTAGGATGGCTATTATTTAAAAAAGAAACAAAAAACAAAAAATAAGCACTGGCACGGATGTGGAGAAATTGAAACCCCTGTGCACTGCTGGTAGGAATATGAAATTGTGCAGCAGCTGTAGAACATATGATTCCTCAAAAAATTAAACAGAACTACCATGTGATTCAGCAATTCCACTTCTGGGTATATACCCAAAGTAAGTGAAAGCAGGGACTCAAACAGATACTTGTAAATCCATGTTCACACCCAAATATTCACAAGAGTCAAAAGATGGAAGCAACCCAAGTATTCATTAACAGATGAATGGATAAACAAAATATGGTTTATGTGTACAAATAAATGTTATTCAGACTTTAAAAGGAAGGAGATTCTGATACATGCTACAACATGCATGAATCTTGAAGATACTAATGCTAAGTGAAATAAGCCAGTCACAAAACGACAAATACTGTATGATTCTACTTGCATCAGGTCCCTAGAATAGTGTAGTTTATAAAGAGCAGAATGGTCGTTTCTAGGAGCTAGAGGGAGGGGGTCTGGAGAGTTATTGTTTAACTAGAGACCCAGTGTACAACATTTACGGTTAGGGGTTAGGGTTTAGGGTTTAGGGTTTAGGGTTTGGGTTAGGGTTAGGGTCTTGCAGTCTGGGACCCCTCGGGGGAAGTCCGACTGCCCGCTTAGATGGTAGAGGCTCCTTAGTGCAGCGGCGGTGGCAGGAGCCTCTCCCACCACTGCTGCTGTGTTCGCCAGCCATGAGCCCACTAGCCTAGAGCCCGGCTTCTGCTGTGTGGCGCTCCCCCTGTGGGAGCGCACTGACCACCAGGGGGTAGCTCCTGCGTTGAGCATCTTCCCCCTGGTGGTCAGTGCACATCATAGCAACTGGTCATGCCGCTGTTCGGTTGATTTGCATTTTAGCCTTTTATTATATAGGATGGGTACAGAGTTTCATTTTTAAAAGATGAAAAAAGTTCTGGAGATGGATGGTGGTGATGGCTGTGCAATAATGCTTTGCTTTCTTAATGCCACTGAGCAGTACACTTAAAAATAATTAAAATAGTAAATTTTATGTTATGAATATTTATCCATAAAAACCCCTAATAAACTGATGACATTGATAACCTACATTGGGTGATAGGATACAGTGTGAAAAGAATGGGGGAATTTGCCCTGCCGGTGTGGCTCAGTGGTTGTCTGCCTTTGAACCAGGAGATCACAGTTCGATTCCTGGTGGGGGCACAATGAATCTTTAATTATTGTTTCTATCTCTCTCTCCCTTTCCCTTCCTCTCTGAAATCAATCAAGATATATTTAAAATAAATGGGGGAATGGGATTGGGAGAGAAGAAATGATGGAGGAGTGACCGAGTATATAATTTTGTGTAATTCTGACTTTTAGAACAATGTTAATGTTTCACATACTCAAAAAGACTAAAGACAGAAAGAACTGTATGGGGTGTGGGAGTATAGTTAGCAATTCTTAAACTATTTTCTACTCAAGACTGAGGCAAAAAATATATTGTGGTTAAACAGAGCCAAGTTTTTCACTGTCAGAGAAAGGAATTACAAAAAAAAGAAAAAAAAAGAAATGGAGGTCGTAAGAATAAAACCTGTTGTGTTGAACCAGAATAGGCGACATTATATGAAATCATGGATTATCTGTATATACATTTATTTCAAGAAGCGAAGACATCCCAGTAGCTATGAGCACATCTAATCTTGATTTCTAAATACCATCTATAATAATAAAAGCATAATATGCTAATTAAACCGGACAGCCAAACGACCTTCTGGACGTCTTTCCGGACGAAGCCGAGGCTGCGAGGGCCAAGCCCTTTGCACAAATTTCGTGCATCGGGCCTCTAATTTTCTGATTAAAGGAGCTAGTGCTCCTTGGGAATCTGCTGATTCCAGTGCTAGGGCTGAGAAAGTACAGTATCAGCTTGGAACATATATTGTGGTGTATGAAAATAAATAAGTACTAAAAGAAATCGAGAGAGAGAGAGAGAAAGAGAAAAGGAGAACACATTGAAATGACACAGGAGCCAACTCTAAGGGGCTCCCAGTGGACATAATAATTCAGCAACAACATAGTGATAGTAATGGATTATAACGTATAGAATAACAATTAATCCAGTATATACTTATATAATGTAGTAAATAAGTAAATGGGAGAGAAGGAAAACTTCCAACAGTAGGATTCCAATTAACACATAAAGAAGGAATGATGGAAACAAAAAAAACCCACCATTTGGCAAATAGCTGGCAATAACATTTTCAGGTAAGAATTAACAATGGATTAAGATTAGTAGGCGAAAGTAGGATGAGAAACAGGATATTTATAATAGATTTAAAGTATTTCTCCATAAGACACTTTAATTATAATGGGAAAAATAGTGGAGACACCACTGTAATCAAGTGATTAAAGTTAACACCACTGATAATGAAACAAATTGACTTCATGGGTCTCTTGATATAATGCACTGAGAACATATCACTTTTGGGACATTCTTGCCTCAAATGCATAATCTGAATTTAATAATGAGGAAGCAGCAGACACCTCAATTTGAGGAACATTCTATACTGCATGCTTCACAAAATAAATGGCCAGTCACAAACACAACCACGCATCCACTCTTGAGACTCACAGGACACAACCACACAATCACAGACACAGTCATAATCTCACACCTACTAAGAAGACACAAAGTCACACAATCTCACCACCATGACACACAAAGTCACTCTCATATAGTCACAGACTTCCTAAACCAAAACCCACAAATTCCCAGCAGTCACAATTACATACCCACTTAGAGGATACACACAATTACTGGCACTCTACTCAATGTTAACCGTGAATCCAACACTTACTCTGGAGACACAATCACACTTACACAGGCAAAGACAAACCACACCCGCACGCCACACCCCAAGGGACACAGCTGGAATACACACGCAGTGTCATCACACAGTCACAGACACACGACAATTACACATGGTACCAGACACGGTCACAATATCACGCAACCATACACCCACCTTGGAGACATGCAATCATAACCCAGATACCCGCACCCGTCACACTCACACCTCCAAAAACAAGGCGTGCGGTCATACGTACACTACGGGGACACAGTCATAAGGACCAAACCACACTCCAACACAGTATCACACTTGGTTACAAAAACACAACCAGACACATACCCTTAAAACACATGAACACAACTGGACACTCACAGTCACCCAACCACAGCTACACTCAGAATCTGGCATTCTCAGCCCGCTACCGCCAGCACGCAAAGACCTGAAACTCTGGACACGCCCCATCCCGCCCCGGATTCCCAGACCCCTCACCTTCGGCCTCCCCTTGGTAGCGTCCGGGTCCCAGCGGAGCTAAAGACCTTGCCACCACGTCGAGAGACGTAATGTCGGGCCGCTGTGGTCTCTGGGAAACGTAGTCCAGATCCGGACCAGCCAAAAAAGATGGCATCCTCGTATTTCAGAATTTGAGCTTGGCTCGTTTGACACGGCACTCGGGAGACTTCAAAGAGGAAGTTCCCGATCCAAACCTACCACCAGGATTGAGCTGATCTTCCTCCAAGGCAAGTCTACTTACCTCGAGAGCGCCAAAATGATAGAAAGGGGCAGTCAAGTTCGCACAGCACAGAGGCAGAGTGTCGACCAGCAAAGCCTTAAGGGAAATGTAGTCCAAAGCCGGAAAAGCGGCATTGTTGATGGAAGGTAATCTGATACCACCCGGGGCCTGGCCGTGATGACTATGCGTGCTGCGTCGCGAAGACTTGTGGGAGTGCTCGGTAGGCTCCCCTGTCTCTCCCGCCTCCAACCCCCATGCGCAGGCGCAGCACACCGAGTGGACATTTTGGTCTTTGTCTTCTGGTCAGCCGGCCCCTGGGTCCACGTGGCGTGAAAGTAGGAGGTGGGATGTGGGGGTTTTGGGCCGGTCGGGTCCGGGAGGTTAAAGGGGAGATTCCGAGTGTATTGGGGTACGGCGCGGGGGAGAGGGAGTGGGTTTAAGAGCTTCTGGCCTGTCTGTGGGGTGGGGTTGGGGGGGATCTCCGAGGAGGATTCGAGCGTGTGTGACCCTCAGTTTGACCGGATGTTTGAGGTTATTAAGAGAGAAACTGGTTGCAGGATTGTGTATGGATGAGTTTGAGAGGGAGCTTTGGGAGACCAGCATTGAGTTAGTAACATTGGAGAAGCGCTTCCCTTGTCGAAAGTGCTGCTGATAACGGTGCCATCTTCGTGGAGCATCAGTTTTCCTTGACCATTTGAAGGGCGGGGAGGAGCCAAGTGGTAAATACTTTTAAAATGGATTTTTATATAAAACCGCATTTCTTTTTAATTGAGGTAAAATGCAACTCACCGTGATTTTTTTAAGCAACCAAGAATGTTTCAAAGGAACTTTTTGTTTGAGAGCGCCTGCTTCAGACGGTCTGATTCCCCTGATTTTGGGGGTACTTAAATAGCGCTGCTATTAAATCTTGGACCAAGTATCAGCGTTGCAGTTTGAGAAGCAGCGTCGTACAGCGCAGAAAGCCCAGGATTAGGGATTCAAGGGTTTGGGGTCCTAGGTTAGACAGTTACTTCCTTCTTTGAAGACATTTTAGTTGCAATCTTTATCCGTGAGTCTGGAGTAGATTCTAAGTGTCCTAACTCCTAAATGAATCTAGGTGTTCTTAGATTGTATAGAATTTGTGAAGTAATGAAAAAAGCTACTTCTGCTTACAAAGATGCTTTTTGTAAGGAATCCACCCAAAGTTTTCGCTCACATTTTTAATAATAAGAGAATTAAAGTTATTGGACACTAAATTAAAATAAACAACAACAGTTAGAAGACATAACAGAAGGAAACCGCTATTTACAAGAGCAATCGAAGATTGAGGAGTAAACTTGAGAAATAGGCAAAACTATTAGAAAAGAATTTAAAAATACTAAGGGGTGTAACATTAGATGTGAACAAATAGATATACCATGTTTTTCAATAGGAATATCTAAGGAAGTGTGTGCAAATATCTACAGTCCCTGCTCCTTTGTAACTAGATAATTGGATTCTACACTTCATATGGAAAAATAGACAAGCTAGAATAGCCAATAAAATGGAAAAAGAAAAGGAGTTGCATGGGGATGTGAGAACCCACTGGTAACATATTTGAAAATATAAATCCTTGGAAATTTAAATAGTATTAGTATTAGCATGGAGCTGGCCTGGGAAGTACAATTCAGCAATATCTATAATTGCAAATGTTTTTTTTTTTTTTTTAGCCAGCTGTTTCATATCGAAATTAATCCTACAAATGTATCTGCATTTGCATTGAATTATACAGGTAAGAGGTTGTTCATTTTATTTATGTTTGGCATAGGAAAAGATTAGAAACAATTCTTGCCCATCATTCGGAGACTGATTGAATAAAATTATGGTACATCTACAGAACAGAATAATATGCAGCTGTACAAAAGAATGAAAAGGAAGCTTTCTGTATACTGACACTTGAAATAACTCAAAAAATAAGTGAAAAAAGCAAGATGCAGAATGTATGATATGCTTCATTTGGAGTAAGAAGCGGGAGAAATATATATATATATTTGTTTCCGTTAAAAAACTCAAGATACACCAGACACTAATAAAAGTGGCTATCTCTCTTGGGGGTAGTGGTACAAGGATAGATGGGGCAAAGGCAAATACCTTTTTATGTTTGTTTTCTAACTATGAGTTTAGTATATATTCAAAAGTTAAAGTGTTTGTTTGTTTGTTTGTTTGTTTTTAAAGGTGGAAACAAGCTTTGGAGTCAGACGGCCTCTGTTAACTCCTTCCTCTGCCACTTTGTACCCTCGTAACCTTAGGTACTTAAACCTTATGCCTCAATTTCTCATCTAGTAATATAGAGAAAATAATAGTATTAGATTCATAGGGTGGTTGTTCAGATCATGGAGTTCTGAATTCTATAGAATAGTTCCTGATATATAGTAAGTACTGGATAAATGTTAAATAGTATTGTTATTGCCATGTGCAAAATAATACTTCCTCAGAAATAGTATAGTTATTTGTACTATTTCTGGTAGAAATTTCTGAAAGATTCAGATGTGTACATGCTCCTTTCTTATTTCTACCTTTAAACATTTTGGGGTGAGGGGCATTTCTTTTTATAATTGGAATGAAGAAGTTAGCTTTCTGGGTTCAAGTTACATTCATCTTAGAAACTCATCACCACCACCTTCAGGAACTTTGTTCTTTGATTTCTATGGTGGTTACTTTCTCATGGTCCTAATTCAGAACCTCTGATATTTTTAAAAAATTTCAATTGTGACATTTTAGGGACAGAATAAGTAGGTAATGATCTTCAAAATGCATAATATCAGGAGAGACATACTATATGACTGAGCAAACATTAAAGATTATATTTTTCCCTTTTTGTCACTGGCAGTCGGACATCCCCTGAGGGGTCCTGGATTGGAGAGGGTGCAGGCTGGACTGAGGGGAGGCCCCCCCCCCCCC